AAAAAAAAAAAAATTGCGTAGAAAAATCCTTAGTTTCATTAAAAAGGAGATCTTAAATTGGGAAGAATTACAAAATCTAGATCTCAGAAAGTGACTGAACAAAGAAAAACATAAAGGCAAATGATATAAAAGAATTATTTTCAGAATTAAAGTTAGCTAGATACATTAGAGGAAGCTGAGTATATTTTTGAGTATAGTGAAAGCTGTAAATGAAACTTGCTTTAAAAAAATCAATTAAAAATCCAATGGATAAAAATGCACTCTACTAAAATAGACAGTAAACTGGATTAGATTTATACTACTCTAACTACTTGGACATGTGCACTGAAAGCTATTTGTTCTGTTTTGATATTAAAGGAAAATAATATGGGTAGACATTCAGGATTACAAAACTATTAGCACATTCTCATCCTGCTTTAATGATCAGAGCTCAGTTGTCCAAGATTGGATGATCAGAGCTCCAATCTTTAGGGTACATAATGGTTGAAGAAAAATAGAAACATTAATTCTAGCAACTCTCAGGAATATTACATTCTTTTCATAATTCTTATCAACTCCCTCAAATGTGAAATGACTGTTTTATAGTACAGATTCTAGATATAAACCTATGTTATGTAAATGTATAAAAATCCATGTGCATATTAAATGGTAATTCCTATAGACCTGTGGGATTTACTTCTGATTAACTAATTAAAACTGGTAGTGTAGGTGGCCATCCAAAAGGATGTCAATGACTTTAAACTCAAAGTGTTCATTTCAGCAGAAAGGACATGTACTTCAACATGTATTCCCCTCTAAAAATAGGCCATATATTTTACATTATTAGTAATTTTCACATGGGTCTATTTTAGTAGCTTAGCTAAGAGAATTCTGGTAGCAGCTGTCACGTTTGTGGACTGCCTTAACCAAATGCCTCTATTTAGGAGATACAAGCAAGTCTTGTTAATCAAATAACTGACCCAGATGGACATCTAAGAACCAGGAACTCTACAAATGTGTTCCATAAAGAACCAGTTCCCAAAGTGCTGCCCTCATCCTGCTAAGTGTTTGGACCCAGCTGAAACTTTTATAGAGAGTTAAGATTCACCATTAATCTATTGGTGGTTTTGTTTGTAATCTAAGGTATTATGATTTGTGGTTATGTTACAATCAGTGATTGTGATTGTGATTATATAGTGATTGTGTTATAGTGACTTGTGATTTCAGTTATAGTCAGAACAATCTCATGAGTAATTATTTAAAAGATACCTATGTTACTGCAAATAAATCAGAGAACAAAAACTAGACCATTACAGAGTGTGCAACCATGGTCAGGTTGCACTGGGTTTAACTTCAATCATGTTCACAGTTACTATTGTCCTTAGCCCACAAATGCTGTTGGAGCAGAAGTTTTGCAGAAGAATGCCCAGTGTGTAAGGTTTTTAGAAATCATATAAAATCAGCTTCATAAAAGAAGCCTGTCCCCCTCAAACTAAATCTTGACTATCTTATACAAAATGAATTGGCTTACCCTGAATTAAGCTCATATGAATGAGTTCCTGAATGGCCTTTACAAACATATTTCTTTGCAACAATCCACATTTTTGGTTAAGCAATGCTTGCATTTGTTAATCCTATAAAGTGGATGCAATGAATTGTTGGACAAGGATTCACTCTCAAAACCACCATTCCTAAGGAACTGCAAGGCTTTACAGTCTTATCATTTGGACACTTAAAGATGGATAAGAACTTTATTGTGGTACCAAGGTTCATACCTTGGTAAGGCAGGCTGAAATCGGACTTTGAAAAGAGTAATTAATCAATATAACCTTCTGCAATGTTCAGGAAGCATTTAGCACTTTAAGATTACAAACAGTACCTTCAACAATGACTAAGAGTAGATACTGGCAAATTCTTGTTATACAAAAACTCTGCCTTTGTGATAATTCTCAGACTCAGGACTTAGTTTTATATTTCATTTTGTAAGTGCTGATTACATTTATCAGTATATTGAAACGAGATGAGGTATCTGCTAACTTGTTTCATATGTAAGAAAGGTACATTTTATCTGATTTTAATGATGGCACATGAAGCCCCATTTATGTTAGAAGTACAAAAGATCTGTTTAGATTGTATGTATAACCATTTAGATTAAATGGTTATAGGTCTGCAGCCAGTGTTGAATTAAAGCTTTCTGTTTTAACTGTATTTTAAATTGTGTAAATGTGTAAGGGCTATGGCTGCATGCATTTAATAGATTATTGTATATATTGAAATAAAGTCTGGCAAAATTTCAGAAAAAAAAATATTCTGCCTAATTGTAAAATTCAGTAAATCTGAATCTACTGCTAAGAGAGTAGCTAATTGCATAGTTTTAACAAAAGAAACATGTCAGTTTTGTAGCAGAATATATTTTTAATTATTGTTGCAAATAGAATTTCATGTGCCAAATATACCCTCTATTATCATTCTTTCACTCCTATAGTTGAAAACAAATGCTGTTCAACTAGAGAAATTAATCTTCAATCTTTGTGTGAAAATTTCCTATGAAATTTCTGGTACTCAGAAAAGTTCTGTCTCTGGTTAACAGTATCCACCATTAAAATTAGATGCAGTTGGCTGTTTATTCAACACTGGCATTAATTCAATGAATAATTTCCTCTAAAGAGATTCTTATTGTCTCATTAAATTTTAATTTACATCCGTAACATATTTTTAAAGTCTTAAAGAGCTTTGAGTCATGAGTTAAAAACCATTGCCAGTGATTCTACACTTTTTTTTATAATAAATTACGTATAATATTTATGTACTTGCCAAGGCACACTCATTTAAGTGAGAACTAACAGCTGGCACAAATTCTCATTTCTCAAACAAATATCAAATCTAAAGCATACCAATATACCTTTACTGATTTCAAAAATAGTAGGCATAGAGATTTCAAATTCTTCATCATTTTGAATTAATAATTCTAAGAATCAGGACATATCCACCAGTGGCTTAAAATTCATATTATAAGCTTATTGGATATACAATCTCATTGACAAGGAGAGTAATTTAAGTTTTCAGATGACCTTGAGGGGACAATCAATAAACCATGACACTTTTTCTCAGTTATAAGATTCTCATTTATCATCTAAATAATTAGTGTATTTGCTTTTTTTTGGTGCCTTCAAGTCAATCTTGACTCCTGGTGACTGTCTTGACTAGTCCCTGCAGTTTTCTTGGCAAGACCTTTGGAAGTAGTTTGCCATTGTCTTCTTTTTCCTAGGGCTGAGAGAGAATGACTGGCTCAAGGCCATCTAACTGCCTTCATGCCTAAGGTGGGACTAGAACTCAGTTTCTAGCCTGGTGTCTTAACCACTACAGCAAACTGGCTCTCTTGTATTTGCATTACTTTATAATATTCAGCGGCTCAGCTTTCAGTCTAAAGTTCGGTTCTGCAAGCAGAAACATCCTTGACTCTTGGAGAATAGAGAGTTGCCCATTTCCAGTTTTACAGTTTTTATGTTCTTCAAGAAAAGAGCTTTGGTCATGAAGATGGAACTTGGGATGGGACCATTTTTAAAAACATACATAGGAGTTGAACGGACAATTTATATGGCCCCAAGTCACAAAGGAAAAAAAATGCTATCCCTGCCCTAAATAAAGCATTTAGACTTCAGGAACAGCAGTGAAGTATAGCTAGATAGGTGGATACTGTAGATCATTGGTTCTCAATGGGGGCAGTGGGAGGATGCTGA